GGGTAGCTGCCGAAGCACAGCTGGGGTTCTCTCCTCAGATCCATTGTTCTGGGTCTTTCCTATCACTGGGGAGGTCATGTGGAGAAGGGAGACATTCCGCACTTCTTCATCTTTCTTTTCCTCTTTTTCCTTTCAAAGAACTTATAAAAATGCAAAAAAAAAAAAAAAAACAGAGCAAGGGCTATTTGGGGATTTTTTTATTTTTATTGAGCAGCTGGCTGCATCTTAGCATGTTTGAGGCAAACCCATCCACTGTGATTCTGACTGGACTCAAATTAAACTCCCTCAAAATAGAAATGTTCTCTCTGAAGACTGGACATAGAGCCACAGTTTTGGAATGGATCCAATCTGCCTCCCAGTGGGTGGGAGTCCAGACACCTTACAGTGTTTGAGACAGAAGGACACACTCATCATGGCCAAAGGGTGGTGGCCCTTGGGACAATGTGGACAGCGGTTGAGATTGCCCAGAAGAATCAAGGCATCACTGCCTTTATTACATCCTGTTATTGCAAATGGAAGCAAATGACCCCCAGAGCCCAGGCCTGGCCTCCCTGCAGGAAGGGGCTGGGGCCTGCAGTGTTCAGTAGATTTTCCAACAGTGATGGTTAATTTGGTGTGCCTGGGGCATCTCTTTCCTCCATTCCTAAGGTAGAGGGCAGGCACACCCAGGTCAGCGAGCTCTACTCTCTTTGGGTCAGAGATCAAGCTAGCATCGCCGTAATACATATTCAGTGATGGGTGTGGGAAGTGCAGTGGGGGCAGTGTGCTCCATGTGGCGAGAGTGGCCTGTGAGGGCTGGCTGTGCGAAGATAGACCCTATCTTCATTTCAACTTTTGATGGTCATCATGGGTTTTCAAAAAGTGCATTTATTTTGCCCATTGGCTAAGTGTGCAGACAGGGCTGGTGGGGGTGGGGTTAGCCCCTAGACTTTTAGGGTGGTTGACATACTTAATCACCTCTCAGCAAAATACTCTTTCTGCCTTTAACTACAGATTTCTGTCCCTTCACCCTACCTCAGGCCACAGCAGAACTTCCAGGCCACTGGCTCAGCCCTGTGGGAGGGACTTTGAGCAGATTCCAGGACCTGAGCTATCCGTCTCCTCAAAGTGGGACAAGTCCAACCCTTGGCTTTTCAGCCAGCTCCCCAAAGCTACTCTGGGCAGTGGGCTGTTGAATGATCTCGCTTCCAGAGCCACCCTTGAAACGTAAGTGATACTTGGTAAAGAATTCATTCTACACATCGGAATGTCAAGGTCTGCTCCCTAAGGCTGCATTGATTGCCTGCCCCAGTGAACACTGGCTTAGGTACCCATAGCACCGGGGCCTTCTGAAGCCATATTCTCTGCTCCCAGAGTGTCCTGGATACTTAGATTTCCTTTCTCTAGATTCAACATGAGCGCTCTGGGAAGAGGCTACCTTGTTTTCCTTTACTGGCAGTCTTGGCCTTGAGCAGGACAGGAGTTGGGTGGGTTTTCAGAAAACACCTTTCCATTTCCTTGTGCCCCTTAAAGGACTAGTTTGAGGGGCATTTCTAGATTAAAATGTGTCTCCATCTTTGGGGAATCTGAGGTGATGGAGATGATTGACAGGACCCTTGAGCAGGGGTGGGTTAGTCCTGTCCTCCATTGTGCCCATGGAATGAAGGAAGCAGCTCTGACCATATGGGTCTCTTTCCTCACACACACAGGGCTTGTGTGGTATCTGGTCCTCTTCTGCATTTCTCCTAGAGATGGAGTGGATAGCCTGGACAGTTTCCAGAATGTATAGCTTGTGGGAACAGAGTGGGTCAGTGTGATCCATCTCTCTTTCTAACATTGCCCTATGTTAATCTTGTGGGCTGGGCATGGCTGGGCATCAGCTTTACAGTCTAATGTATTATTATTAAAATAAAAACAAAGCAAAGCATTTTTATGTTTCTGTTTTCTAAGGCATTTTACTCTCATCCCTCTCTCTCTCTCTCTCTCTCTCTCTCTGTGTGGTGCTGGAGATTGAACCCAAGGCTTTGTGCATGGTGGGCAACACTCTACCTCTGAACTATACTGTCAGCCCCTCATTGGTAGATTATAAGCAGACCTACCCCTGAGTCATGCCCCCAGCCCCTCACTGGGGGATTCTAGACAGGTGCTCTAGCTCTGAGCCACACCCCCAACCCTTCACTGGGGGATTCTAGGCATGTGCTCTACCCCTGAGCCACATCCCAGCCCCTCACTGGGGGATTCTAGGCAGGTGCTCTACCTCTGAGCCACACCCCCAACCCTTCACTGGGGGATTCTAGGCATGTGCTCTACCCCTGAGCCATGCCCCCAGACCCTCATTGACATATTCTGGGTAGGTGCCCAACCACTAAGGTACATATCCAGTTCCATTTTTCTTGAGACAGAGGAGTTGAGGAGTTCTTATTGGAGACAGTGTCTGCTCCCTGTGATGAAGTGTGCTTAGAGAGGTCCATGGGCTTAGAAGGGTTCCCCAGGAGGTTCCCTGGAGAGATCTGGCAGGGCACTGGTGAGCTAAAGCAGCTCACTTTCCACCTATCTCCTTCCACACAGAGGTCATTGGGAGCATCCACCCTGGAACTGGGAGCCATTCTTTACTGCTCCTCCAGGAACGACAGTCTTACCCAACATCTAGAGTTGCTCTTTGGATCTGTGTGGCCGCCCATGCCTGAGTGCTCTGAGGGTGCAGCCCATCAGATAGCTTTCTGGTCCCAAGGGGAGAGGTAAGAGCCAAATGGCAAATATTCTGACCTCAGATGTGAGTCTGACAGGCTATGGGCCAAGTCCATTAGACGTATGGCCCCACCCTAGCTATAGGGAACAACAAAGACTACTTTCCTTAGCTTTGGAGGGATGTGCCTGCCTTTAGTCCCCGACTGATGAGAGCCTCAGATGCTCATTGTCAGTAGACTCTCACCAGGAGCCCAGGTCATTACTGCTACCTTTCAGATGGGCAATGGAGATTTGGTTTTGTCTGACTTCGACAGCCTGCTAATCAGGTACAAGGGCCGCACTGAAAGCCTGCAGTGCTGTGGACTTTGCAGACCACTCCCGAGGAAGCTGGTTCTGTGCTATCTTACCCAGGAAAACCTGGAGAGTGTTTCTCAGAAGATGCATTGCGATAGAGATAAGAACCACGCAGAGGGCTGGAGAGATGCCTCAGTGGCTAAGGGCATACTGCTCATGCAGAAGATCCAAGCTAGAACCCACATCACGTGACTCACAGCCATCTGTGACTCCAGCTCCTGGGGGAGCAACACTCTCTTCTGGCCTCTGCAAGCACCTGCACACCCCCATATATATGTCTGCACTCAGGTCCTGGGGATGGCCCCAACAGCTGCTGTTCAGGTTAGCACTGGTGTCAGGACGAGTTCCACCCTCTGCATAGGAAACTGACCAGACATGCCCTGGCTTGTGTCTCCCTGACTTTCTGCTCATGCCGGGGTCTTGATACATTTGGTGAACACTTGCTAAGTGTCTACCACATAGCACATCATCCTTCAGGCAAAGGGTAGAACATAGAAGTTCATGTCCAAATTCAAGCACCAGCGAAGCTGAGGCTGAAGACTGTGAGTTCGAGGTCAGCCTGGGCTACATAGTGAGACCGATATGCTCTGTTTTTTAATGAGTGCATTCAAATAAATAGGACAAGATAATGGGTTTTAAGGTGGCATTTTCATACATGTGTATTGTGTACTTGGATCATATTCACTCAGTGTTACCTTATATACCTCCTGTCCCTCACTCTGGTTCTCTTTGCCTTCATAAGTACTCCTCCCCCCCCACTCCCACCGCGATTAAATTTGTTCTTTGACAATTTCATACATGTACACTGTGTGTTCTGGTTTCTCTCACCCTGCCCTCTCTTAGCTTCCTCTCACCCTGTCATCCCCTTCCTCTCTACAGGTCCATCTCCTACGTTCATGTCTTTGTGTTTTGTTTGTGACCCTCTAGTTGGCTACATCCGTGAAGGTGATGATTGCTGCTCCCCCAGAATCCATCAGTAGCTAATGGTCCAGCAGGGAGGAGTTGCCCCCACCCCAGCCCCTCCCTGATCTGTGACCAGCTGTCCACAGGCCCGGTCTGCATAGTACTGACACCCACAGGTGCTGAGAGGTCATCACGGTTGTGCCATGTCCCAAAGTCAGCATCTCCCAGCCCTTCTCCCTGTTTTCCGAGCCTTAAGTTCTTTACTCTTCCTCAGTGTTCCCTGAGTTGTGGTGTGTGTGTGTGTATGAGAGAGGGAGAGAGAGGTCTTGTTTCAGGCTGAGCGCTCGATTGTCATGTATTCTGAGTGCCTTGAACTGTATCCACCGCTTTTCACTGTTTGGGTCAGATGCTGTTGGGCAGCAAAAATGTGCTCAGAGGCAGGAAGTCTGGGAACCTATTACATGTCACCCCTCCTATTTCCTTCCATGTCTTTAAAAAATACAAATTTTGCTTATAAGAGAAAACATGCAGTATATTTTTGAGTCTGGCTTAATTTTGCTTTATGTGACCATCTCTAGTTTCACCTATTTTCCTGTAAATGACACGACTTCAATTTTCATGGGTGACTAATATACCACATTAAAAAATTGAGTCATTTGATCCCGTAATGGCTGCTGTGGATAGTGTCGCAATGGACTTGGATGTTGTTGACTTTGATTCCTTCAGGTACAGCCATGAGTGCTATAGCTCGATTCAACTCCATGCTATATTATGTTAGTTTTGGTTTTAAACTTCCATTCCAATTTCCATAGTGGATGTGCTAATTTAAATTCCCACCAGCAGTGAACATGTCTCTTCTTTCCCTACGTTTTCCCTGGCATTTCTTCTCATCGGTTTTCTTGATGACTGCAGTCCTGACTACGGTGAAAGGCACTGACATTGTGGATTTGTGCATTTCCCTGATGGCTAAGGATGGCATTTGGCTGCTTCTTTTGAGAACCATGTTCTGTTCATTTGCCCACTATTGATTTGAGATTATTTTTTCTTAAATTTATTTATATGTGTGAATGTGTGCCTGTGGGAGTTTATGTGCACCACCTGTGTGCAGTGTCCATGGAGGCCAGAAGAGGGCATCAAGTCTCTTGGAACTAGGGCTACAGACAATCATGGGACCATGGGAACAAAGTCAGCTCCTCTGCAAGAGCAGCCAGTGCTCTTAACCTCTGAGCCATCTCTCAAGCTCTTTATTCATTAGTTTGATTACTTGTAATTTTGGAATCTCTGAAGACATAAGGCCCCTGCCCCCCGAAGGTTTTCTCTTCACCCTGGTAATTATTTCCTTTGCTGAGAAGGCTTTTAATTTGATGGGGATGCCATTCTCTTACCATAAACCTGGGATGGATGGGCTTACCATTAGCGAATGGGAAGGCCATGGTCTGGAGGCCCCACACCTGTACCCACCAGTCCTGGAGTCTTTGTGTCTGTTATGTAGACTGGCACCAGGACACTAGTTTTGTTTTGTGTCACCTTCTGGAGCTCGCTTTGGGTGTGGATGACCGAAGTCATAGATTCCTCTGACGTATTTGTCTGGAGATGATGGTCCCCTATGTCAGACTCCCTGCAAGGCATAAGAGCCAGCTCCAGCTGTGTCTCCAGGGTCATGCCACAGTTATCTCAGTACCCTCCCCCAACCCCAGGACCTCAGTGTTTTTTTTTTCTCACTATGAGGAGGTAGATTCCTTAGGAAGATGATGGGCTTGGGCAGATGTGGGGGTCTTTTTCAGAAAGAGGGGACACAGGGCATGGAGTAGTGGCAATAGGGAGCCAGGAGAGGTGGAGACCGAGCGCCTCTAGCCTGGGTTAGTAGGGACATCAGAGTTTTCTTTCTCATGTAAACACAAAGTGCTCGAATTGACTCCCTGGAGAAGTAAGTCCTCAAAAGTCATTGGAGTAATCTATACCCCGAAGACACTCATGAGATCCCTTTAATTAAATAAAAAAAGAAATGAAAGGGCACATGAAGCTGGGGTGGAGCGGTAGGGATGGATCTGGGAGGAGTGAGCATGAATATGATCGAAATTCATTATATGAAATTCTCAAAGAATTAGCAAAATATTTAGAAAAGATACTTAAATTATTATTATTATTATTATTATTATTATTATTATTATGTGTGTGTGTTTGAAACAATTTCTCTTTTTCTGCCATGGGCTCCAAGGATCTAACTCAGGCTTATGTTGAGCCATCTCACTGACTCACATCACTTTTTTTCTTTT